TTATGTCATGAAAAATGTTTAATGTATTGAGCACAAAAAAAGTCTACTCTTTTAAAATATTAGTGTTTACAAATCAGATCCTTTCCATATTATCCAGAAAATGTAATTCATAAGTGTTCTCTTCTCTAACTCTTTAAACATCAAAAGGGACCATCTTCAAACTCCAAATGCTTCTCCAGCTTTCCGCAGGATATCACAAAACTTCCTGGCAGGGACTTTTAAACAAGTTGAGAAGTTTTATAAGATAAAAATATTTTTTCAGTTGACTTGACAACCATGTACAATGTTAGTGGAGAGTTTATTTGCCCAAGGCTCTTTGTCAAAATGAATTTAAACTGAGATTATTAAAATGTAGTTTAATTGCACAGTGTGAGAAGAGGTGTTGCTAATGTTTTACTTAGAGAATGTTTTCCATACAATGCATGCAACTTGGTTACAGGGCTGTACACATAAAGGTGCGTTTCTGCTAAAAGACCAGAGGCATTTAGAATTATTCAGAAAACAATAAATCATCTGCAGAAATGGAGAATTTTGATCCAGAAAGAGAAGCACTATAGTGTGGTGTTTAGGGGTTTGTCTGGTTTAGCATCAGACTGCGTGGTCTGAGTCATAGCTCCACCACTAACCTCACCACCTTCCTCATCTGTAAAAGAGAAGTCATGATAATAGAAACATGATGGGGATATTGTGAGGATTAAATGATATCATCATTGTAAATGATTAATATACTGACTGGCACAGATAAAGGTTCACAATTAATTGTTTTATTTCAAATATGTAGAATCAGGACCAAGTTCCAGATGTGTGGTTAAAAAAAAAAATCCTTATCCCAATTTAATGATAATCTTTTCTGTTGTGACTTAAACAGCTTTAGGAAAATGTAACTAATGGTAAACAATGCTCGAATCATCAGATCTCTCCATGGCTGAAGCTAATTTCTTACATGAGGATCGGGATCCCAAAAGGAAAATGATCATCTGGATGAGAGGTTGTAATCTTCCAAATTTGGAAAATCATATTACACTACTTTGGGAAAATGTCCAAATTGCTAAATCTTGGAAGCTGTTCCTCTCCTTTTCTCAAATGGACACGTTATTTAGGAAGTTTTATTATTCTCAAAAAGACCTTTTGCCTTTCAAAAATAATAGCATTTGTGTATGATTGGAAAGACTGCACCACCACGGATGTCCCACATGTCAAGTGGGTGGCCATTAATTAATGGGTCCCCCAGTGATGTGTGCTGCAGCCAGAATCCATGGGAGAGATGAGACGGGGATGCCAACAGGGGCTGCATCAGAGCCCTTTCATCAGTTTGTGAGATGGTGCTGTCTTTCCAATCTCTTATTTTAATTAAACATCTAAGCAAAGTAAATTCTTGCCTTTACTATTTTCATGTTTTTTCTTACATCCACATTTACACCAAAGAAAGCAAATACAGCCAATTACCTTTAATGATAAGTTTATCTCTATGTGTCTTTTGACAAATTAGAGTGGTATGATAGTTTCTCTAATTTAATGCCCCGCTGTAAGGAATTATTATGGATTCCTACTATATTTCAGGAACTGTGCGGGAACTTTACATCATTCTCATGCAGTCCTCGCAACAAATCAGGCAGGAAAGTTTAAGAGATGAGGAGACTGAGGCACATTTATTTATTTATTTATTATTATTTAACGTGCCTCTGGTGACATGAATGAGGGGAAGATAGAGAGATTAAATCTCTCAGTAACTGCAGTGTATTTTCACCCTACACCTTGGTATTCTCTCAGTTGAATTGGTTCATAACTATTCCATGTAATCTCTTTTCCTCTTTACCTTCAAAGTGTGAGACATTTGCTTTCTATTTTCTCTGTCAATTATTCCATTAATGTGTGTTGATGCAGATCCTATTTGAAGATATTTTTTAGAATAGAAAAGAGAAATATGATTCCACAGTGAAGTTTTCCTACGCTGAAACTGAAAAGCGATATTCAATAATGTATTTTTAGTTTTGAGACCAGAATTTTCATAGTCAAACTTAGCAGACATAGTGATATAATTACTGTTAATTTATTAATATGGATTGAATTTCTTTGTTTCTTCCATACCATTTTTGTCTTTCAAAAACATATTTGATCATAACAATTTTGACTCAAATTTTTAATTTTTCTTAATAGAGTATAGCTTGATAGTGTTGAAAATTTTTATTTCTACTTGAGAAAACATAGATAGCTTACTTGTGATTTCCTGTAGCAACTTCTATAAAAATTCTTTTATTAGTGTTTTAAAATACGACATAGATACTCTTGTAAATTTTTCATTATGAAAGACAATTTTACTTATTATCTAGACCATAAAGGGAGGAGAAAAGAGAACACTGGACCATCCTGCCATCATCTCAGACTTAGCATGTACAAAAAGAACTTCTTTTTTCTTCTTCTTCAGTGTTAACTCTCATTCATGAATAATGATTTTAGTGGCATATCATGAGAATTCATAGGAGATTACACTCGTGCATTGCTTAATAATGGGAATAGGTTCTGAGAAATGTTTCATTAGACAATTTTGTCATTGCGTGAAAGAGTATTATGAAAGAGAACAGCAGTGAGGTTTGCTACTATCTACACTGGCCACTAGTTGCATGAGCGTGGGTCCTCTAATTGTAACTAAGTCTCTCTGTGCCTCGCTTTCTTCATCTGTTAAATGGAGATTAGAATAATACCACCCCCACAAAGTTATAAGAATTAAATTACAGGTCAGGATTGTGCCTGGTACTCAGCAAGCACTCAGTAAGTGTTAGCTAACTTTTGTTAACTATTATTTTGCTATTGGGATGGATGGGAATCAATAAAAAATGCAACAATTCTAAATTAGGCCATAACCCATTTACATGGGGTCAGACTTAATGTGTCAAATGCTTGGCTTTCTATCTTAAAGTTCTGGACTACCTTTTGGGAGGGGCACCCTGTGGGTAAGCTAGACTCCTCCTCAGCACACTTTGCAGTAGGCTTGTTTACATCAGCATCACCACAAACATGTGAGTAATGTATTGCGCTACGATGTTAGAAAGGCTACAACATCACTAGGTGATAAGAATTTTCAGCTTTATTATAATAATGTGGGGCCACCGTCAGATACAAGGTCCATCATTGACTGAAAACGTCATGCAACATGACTGTACATGAAATTTTTTCTGAAATGAAAGTGATTCTGTATGATGGCTTGATTCAGATTACAACATGGGTTACAGATTGTAATTGCTTTATGCCAGATTCTTAGATGAAAAAATCCTTGTCCTACAGAATTTGGAGAGTTAACCAAAAGTAAAAATGTGTAATGCAATGTAGAAAACACTGTAACAATGTTATTAACGGAACCCTATGGTGAGAAAAATAGGAGGTACAACTAGGTGAGGTAGAGGTTAGTGAAAGAAGACCTGCCAGAAGTAATCTGCATTTATCTTGAAGATTAAGTAGAATTGGTCCAGGCAAAGAAGCTAAAGGAAAGGCACCTTCAACAGGGTGGGGGGTGGGGAGTGGAATCACAGATGCCCCATGTGTAATGGCTAGTCACGTGAGTTTTAGAGCCAGCCACCTTGGTTCAGACATTACTACTTTCTAATTTCCCATTGTATAACCGTCTCATCCGCAAAATGGGGGTTATAATCATTTCTACCCCATAAGTTTGTTTAACTTATAAAGCCCCTTATATGGTATATAATACATACAATATACTAAATAACAATTAGTTGCAAGAAAATAAGAAACGTAATGTTTGGAAAACTAAGTCATTTCATATTGCTGAACAGAAAATGCAATAAATGACATGGAAGAAGATAAAGGACGGTGTATCTTCTTAAAAGAGCTGGAAATTGCCATCAGGGTCATGACAAAGCAGAGGGATGGCAGAGTCAGCTGGTGTTTTAAATAGATCTCACTGGGGCAGGGAAAGTTGAGGGGACAGGGGAATGTTAATAAATACGAGAGGCACAGAACCCGGTTAGAATACCATAAGTATCCATTCAGACTCTCCGTTTGGTAAGAATATTATATAATCCTCTTTAAATAACAATAGGAATAGAAAGGAGATGACAGTTGAGAAAAACATTTAGAAAGTAGAATTGGCAGAGCTTGCCCATAATAAAATAGGCTGGGTAATAATTTGGGAAAGGAAGGAATAAGTGATGACCTGAAGATTTTTATCTGGCAGACTTAGTGCTAGAGAAAGTATAAAAAAGAGAAGAAGAGAGAAAGAGAATACTGTAAATAGAGGTTTGAAAGAGAAAGTAAGGAGGGCAGTCTTTAGATATGTTGAATTTAAGATGTTTCTAGAATATCCTTTTGGAAATAAGTCAGATTTTTAGAATAGAGTTTCAACAGATTTCAGGATTCACTAGAAAAGATAAAGATGGCCAAGGATGTGAAAAGTTTCCCGGGGACAATTTGTGTTTTATGAGGTGGCTGGAAGGAGTAGATAGGGAAGACGCAGTAGTAGATTAATAGTTTAATGCGGTTTCAGACTTTGACAAAAATTTGATTCAGGCAAGAGCAAGAATCTAGTGTGTTAAATAGAAATTTACTCTATGTTTCATACATATTCTATGCAAAGGACATGTATCTATAGATCATTTTGGTTTAGGTGACCTAACCATGTCATTTTGTAGATTCGTTGGGGAAATGTTTTTTATTAAATAAAAATGTTGACCTTAAATCTTGATAACAAAAGATAAAAAATAAATGATCTGAAATCTAATTTTATTTTGACACTAATTTTTTTAAAACAAATTTTCTTGAATTGATCATCACACATTGTACACAGGTATTGATATTCAACTCTTATGCCACAAATATATGTAATCAATTATGTTTCAGTTAAAAAAAAAAGCATTCTCCTGGAAAAAAAAAAAAGAATTTTCCCTTGTTTTAAGTATTTTTAATTGTTACTTCATTGCAGTTATGAAAAGTTGAAAAGTAACATTTAGTTAATGTGCTTTTAAAATTTTAATTATATTCTGAATCAGCATGGGCATTAATCATGACAATGACCACCCATCATGTGCTGATGGTCTTCATATCATGTCTGGTGAATGGATTAAAGGACAAAATCTTGGTGATGTTTCATGGTCTCGATGTAGCAAGGAAGATTTGGAAAGATTTCTCAGGTACTGAGGTCACTTATTATTGTTGCATTGTGAATGTTTATGTGTGCCTGCTTTCTTTACCAACCAGGGAAAGCAGCGTGGCAGGGTGGAAAGGTGGCCAGAGTAGAAATCAAGGCACTCCATTCTAAGCCTGGCTCTTTATTGACTCATGGCATAGATTGAGACAAGTTATTTAACTCATCTGCTTTTCAGTTTTTACATTTTTCATGTGGCAAGATGATTTGTAAGATTGAAAAATTGTTATAATGATAAAAACTGTCAAAACATTTAATTGCCTCTTCAATGTTTCCCAGTGGGAATGTTCTCATTGCTTATCACTCAGCACATCTGTCATTATCACAAAGAGTCTCTTTAACAAACTCTTCAACTTTTCATTATGATACTTCTACACTCCAAATATTTTTTCATTAACAAATAGTTTGCACCATTGTAACAGTCCTTGGTGCTCTTGTTTTCCACCTTTAAGGGCAGTAACAATTGGCCTCTGTCTGGTTGGAAAAAGAAATGAAAAATATTACTATTTTTCCAGTTTCCTTTTAAAGACCTTGTTTCTTTGATAATAGAAGGAGCAGCTGAAACAGTAGGTAATATGCAAAGTGGTTAGAGAAATGGTTAAGGTATCTGAAAGAAGTCTAAAGAAATATAGCAACACCTAGCTAGCTCATTTCACTAGACAGATGAGCATTACTCATTTTTTCATACACTTTAAATGGGCAAGCCTATTTATTCTATTAAATGGATATAAAATCTACAAAAACACAATGTTTATTACAGTACCATAACTCAGTTCTGAAATATATGCTGTGCAATATATTCTTTGTATGCTCTTTGTCATCATAGTCTAGAGAAGAGCACTCAGATCATGCAATATTTTGAACACACCATCAGTAGCTGTATCGGTAGCCCTTCAGTAGGCCCTAATGAGTTCCTAAGGAAAATGCAAGAGTTTGTGTGGCTGCCTTCACATGCATCTGGACTCTAATCAAATTAAATGTCACTTTACTAAAGGAAGTGTATTATAATGTTAAATACAAAAAATATATGTACTATTAATACTCAGCTGAGAATGCTTTCTATGCGTTCTTTAAATTCCCAAGTATAGCTTATTTCTTATCTTCACACATACTTTTGGGCAAGTGACTACCTGAGTCTGAGCTTCTACATCTTATAAATGCATAAAAGAATACCCACCCCACAGGGTTATGAATATTAGCTGAGTTAATCCATATGAAAGGGCTTTATAAATCAAAGAATTCTGTTAACTTGAACTTATTATTTATGAGGATTATCTTAAAGAATTATAAATAAATTATTTTCATATATGGGATAATTTCTATGAGCATTCAATAAAAGAGCTTATAAATAAAAGTAAAAACATATTTTTAGTATTATAAAAATGCTTGTTGTTGCTATGCTAACTAACCATAGTAATTTTTTACATTAAATTCAAAGTTTTATACATATCTGCATATTGCCAGGTCAAAGGCCAGTAACTGCTTGCTACAGACAAATCCCCAGAGTGTCAATTCTGTGATGGTTCCTTCCAAGCTGCCAGGCATGACATACACTGCTGACGAGCAGTGTCAGATTCTCTTTGGGCCATTGGCTTCTTTTTGTCAAGAGATGCAGGTAAGCATTGTGTCCAGGTGGGATTTTTTAAGTGTTCACATTCATTGTTCAGAAGTACTAATTGCAGGAGGGAAAGCTGACTTCATTTTAGAGTTTGTGGGTCAAAAGCACCCCAATACGTGAAAGAAGGATTTTCTAAGAAAAGGTTTGTACATTTTTTCCCCTTGGGCTTTAGAAACGATAGAAATAAGTCATGGGCATTTAATAAAAGTCAGTAAGGAAAGACCAAATTTTTTGTACTTCGAAAATTACACCGAAGTCAGGGAAGTATTTGTATTATGTTAGTTCAATGTTTCTATTTAAAATCTTGTACTTTCTTACATGGTTATTAGGGGTAAATGCAATAAAAACGATGTATGAACATGTAATTGTGGAGCAGGAGCTATATCTTTCAACCCTGAAAATAAATTTTTAAAACTATTTCTGGTAATTTGCATCTCATGAATTTTCATAATAATAAAAAATAAATAAAATATGTTTTTTATGAATTAAAGTAGAGAATGCATTTCTAAGTAAACTAGAGGAAAAGGGTACATGTATAATGGTAAACTAAGCATTGCCTGTATATTAGTATTCAAATGGTGAATAATTACTCGGAGAGGACAGTTGTATTGTGTCTATAAAATCTAAAGGATGAAGCACAATGGCCTTCTAGGTGTAAGAATTTTAGCTCTATTTACCCTTTCTTCTTTCTTTTCTTCTTTCTTCCTGCTGCCTGTCCCTGTCTGCCCTTCTCCTCCCACCTCCTTCCAACACACACACACACACACACACACACACACACACAGTACTTCATAAATAAACCAATAGCCATATGAAAGTAAATTGGTTGAATATCCCTGAAACGTAGCTGTATTTCACCCTGCCAAAGTTTCTGTGATTGCCTCAAAGGAATTTGGCTTTCTTGAAGATAAAACTGTTTTAAGTAACTGGCAGCATAATTAAAATCCCTCTTAAGGAAAAGAACATACAACGTTATGGAATGTTTTATGCTTTCTCTGCTTTGTAGTTCTTATCAAAAGAGTTGTGCATTTGTTTATTATTGGCTTATCAATCTCACACACTAGTGTATAAGCTCCCTGAGGGCAGAGTGCATTTCCTCCGCATCTAGCCCAGTGGCTGAAACAACAGAATAGGGACTCAGTGAATGTTTGATTTAGAATTAAAGTGAGTGAATGTATGAAGGAGTAGGAGCTGCATCAAATGTGACGGGTGAAAGGCTGTATAGAGGATAAAACTCATCTGGTAATGGTGGAGCTCCAAAGGACCTGGTGTAGGTATGTGATTGTGACCCGATCCTCAAGGATTTACATATGGCACGGCCATGGATCCTTGGAACTCAGCAGCTTGTCTGATAATGATGACAGTAGCCAGCTTTGGTTCTGTAAGATCTGTTCCTGATACCGCTGTAATGTCATCTTCTAATCTCCTTCACTCTGCTCTCACCTCCAGGTCTTTAGACAGTCAAAAGTTTGGACACAGTCTTCTTTCTTAAATCTTAATGGTAAAGTGAATTTTTTGAGGTATGTAAGGTGGGCTTGTGAGCAGACATTTTTACATGCTGAAATTAACACTGCTTTGGACAGCAAAGTTGGCTGTCTATGTTTACCATTGTAGGAGTATTATGTAGGAGAAGGTTTCATTTATATGGTGTGGAGAATTGCTGGAGCTGTTAAATGGAAAATGTTCATCTTTTATAAAGCACCCCAAGCATTAGAAAAACTCAGATGATCAACGATAACCATGGTTTTGGTAAATTTTAGATTACTTTTCATAAATACTATTTTTAAAAGCTTTTAGAAATTATTTTAATGATACATTGCAGTTAGTTAAATTTTACTAGCACCATTGCACAATATTTTGAACTCTAAATATCTGCCATGTAGTATGTTAAATTATTTATGTTTATGATCTAATTTGATTCTTATAACGATTATATGCCATAGTTATTATCCAACCCTGTTTTACAGATCAGCAATTTGAAGCCTGGAGAAGTTAACAGGTCCAAGTTCCTACACCTAATGAGAGGGAGTCTTAGATGCAAGCTCAGATATGTCTAAATCCAAAGAATAGAATACATGTGTAATTGCTGTGCTCTACTGTCTCTTAGGAAACCCAAACTTTTTAACATATTATCTTCTATATGCAAATATCCTTAGATCAGATCCTGTGTTTAATCTAAATTCCTTTTGTCTTCTGTAACACCTATACCATCAAGGTTAAAAAGTATCTTAATTGATTTATTTTATTTGTCTAGGCTATTTGCTCTGTTTATATGGTTATTTCTTACTAACCCACCTGCACAGATTTTTTTTTTTAATCTCTGAAAATGGAACAGTTTATTGTTTTGTTTTTGTTTTTTAAACCCATGTTTCTCAATACTCAATATCCTAGGATGTTACCTTGTTTTAAACTAGACATTTTGCAAATAAAGTTTAGTTTTAGGTTTTAGGTATCCAGAAATGTTCTTTTTTCCTCTCAGATTTTATATTCCAACCCCAAATTACTACAACATGCAAAGTGTAGGAACTAGATAGAGCCTTAGAAGAGATTATTCACAGATTTACTGATTGATTTGACAAATACTTACTGAGATGCAACTACTTGCCAGGCACTGTCTTATGCACTAATCAGCATGAAACAAAGACCCCACCCTGATGGAACTTACATTTTAGACAGAGGAAACAGACAATAAGTATACACATATGTGTTATGTATAATTGTTACGGAGAAATATAAACTGGGGGATGGGGAGATACGGTGCTATTTTATATAGGGTGACCTGGGAAGGCCTTCTAGAGAAAGCGACATTTGCTTGGAGATCTAAGGGAGGTGAAAGAGCAAAAACCATGCACTTATCTTGGCAGTAACATAGCAAGAAGAAACAAAGAAAAATGCCCCGATATTCGGTCTTGGTCAAGTTTTAAGTTTGAGATGCCTATTAGACACCCACGTAGAGATGTAAGCAGGTCCAGGATAGGTATATATTTGGAAGTTATGAACAAGTAGATGATATTGAAGACATGACACTAAATAATAACACTAGGAAGTGAGTTAAAAGAGAGAAAAGGTGCAAGGACTGAGACCTAGGTCACTACAATATCTAGACTTTAGGAAGATGAGGAGAAAGTGACAAAACTCTGAAGAAATCTGTTGAGATAGAAATTGGACCAAGACAAATTAAGATCCTGGAGGCTAAGTGAGGATGTTTTCAAAGAGAGAGTGATCGGCTGCGTCAAAAGCTGAAGGCAAGTGAAATAAAACGAAGACTAAGAAGATATGATCAATGTTTTTTTTGTTTGTTTGTTTTTCCCCCTAAAGGGCTTGACACACTATTATTTGGAGCTATCTGGAAATTCCTGCATACATAATAAGTGTCAGGAGGTATAACTTAAAAGTGCAAGGTGAAATAGTTGGGTATGTACGATATGTCACCATACCTGCCAATCTGTCATTTAAGTTCTGTACAAATCTCCTAGAAGGTAAACTCAGTAACATCAGAGGAGTTGTCAGCTCTTTTTACCTCTGTTCATGCTCAGTAAGTATTTATTGAATGGATAGTGAATCAATTGAATGATGGAGTTATGATTCTAAATTTTGACTCATATAAATACTTGATTCTCAGATATATATCAAGATAATATGATATTAATTCAATATTATGTTCTAGTATTAAATATTGTAGAATATCAATTCAATGACTACATAAAAGCCAACTTGTAAGGGCAGGTAGCTTATACATGATTTAATCAGATATCTTTATGACCATCCCATTTCCAATCAGTTGTAAGTAAATATCAAGTTTCATGGAGCGAGGTTTCACAGCAACCTTAAACATGTATGTTTCTAGTAGAATATTAGAAACAATATAATTCTTAATCTGACAGTAGCAATTGGTCCATAGCATCTGAATTAGGTATTTCTCTTCCATACTCGTAAAGAGATATTTAAACACTAGCACTAGAGATACCAACATCGCATAATGCTGATATAATTAATTAAATAAATTTACCCTTAGGATAACAACTTTCATCTGCAAAATGTGTGAAGACACAGATGTAGCAATCCTTGTGAAACATCTTGACCCCCAGCAATAATAATAGCTCACTCTTCTGCATTCATTTGCAGAATTAGTGACCAACTTCTTGTGTGGCCTTGTTTCCAACTTCTAAGCATTGGTGCCTTCAGGCCATCTAGCATCTGTGGCTGAGCCAGCTCCAGCTGTATCGAGTCATTGTAATAGCTTCCTGAAGTTACTTAGCCTGGCTGAGAATATTGAGGTATGGAAGGATGTTTCCCTAGAAGCAATAAGAAGTGGCTCTCCAAGAGTAACTTTTTTTAAGAAGAAAGTGTGGTAAAATTGAAGACCTTAAGGTCTTGCTTTTGTTTTTGGACTAGGCACATTGTGAATCGCATACATATTAAATGTGTAGAAAACTTTCTAATATGATTGAATCATACGATGACTTAAAACATTGTCATGGAAAGTTTCAGTTTTAGATTTCTCCTATATCTACTTGATTCATCAAAATATGTAGGACTTTCTATAACCTCTCATTTGATCCGATAGGGTACCTTATGAAGAATTCTAGAAAGCTGAGTCTCTGTAATTTGGCATTGTGAAAATCTAAGGGCAACAGAAATTTACACGTAAAAAGGCTTAACATGGGAAAATTGGAGGACACACACTACGTGATTTAAGACTTATTGTAGAACTGCAGGAATGAAGACAATGTGGTGGTGGCAAAAGTAGAGACTTAACTCATCAATGGAACACAATAGAGCCCAGTTATTGACTCACATATGTGTAGAACTGATTTTCAACAAAAGTGACAGGGCAATTCAATGTGTAAATGAAAGCATTTCTACAAATTATTCTGGGACAACTGGATTTTCATCTTTTAAAAAAATCACCTCATATCAAATACCACAATTAATTCTAAATGTATTAACATAATTATATTCTAAGTGTATGAAATGTGAAATCTACAAAACTATAA